TCTCACAGCCTTTTTGTTCCTCATTTCTTCTTTTTGTACATTTTATTGCTTCCTTTTGTATTTTTGTACTGTAGATGATTTCGTGGTATACCATTTTAATTTCCTGTTTTTGCATTTCTGTATTTTTTCTTAGTGATTATCTTAAGGATTAAGATTAATATCTTATAACTTGTGACTAATACCAACTTAGCTTCAACAGCATACATTCTGCTCCTATACAACTTCATCCCTGCTTCCTTATATTGCTATTGTTTCAGGCTACATTGTTATGTAGTCTAGAGATTTCTTCAAGAAAATTAGAGATACCAAAGGAATTTTTCATGCAAAGATGACCACAATAAAGGACAGAAAAGGTATGGGACTAACAGAAGCAGAGATATTAAGAAGAGGTGGCAAGAATACACAGAAGAACCATACAAAAAAGATCTTCATGACCCACAGAACCACGATGGTGTGATCACTCACTTAGAGCCAGACATCCTGGAATGTGAAGTCAAGTGGGCCTCAGGAAGCATCACTACCAACAAAGCTAGTGAAGGTGATGGAATTCCATCAAATCCCCAAAGATGATGCTGTTAAAGTGCTGCACTCAATATGCCAGCAAATGTGGAAAACTCAGCAGTGGCCACAGGACTGGAAAAGGTCAGTTTTCATTCCAATCCCAAAGAAAGGCAATGCTGAAGAATGTTCAAACTACTGCACAGTTGCACTCATCTCACACGTTAGCAAAGTAATGTTCAAATTCTCCAAGCGAGACTTCAACGGTATGTGAACCAAGAACTTCCAGATGTTCAAGTTGGATATAGAAAAGGCAGAGGAATCAGAGATCAAATTGCCAACATCTGCTGGATCACAGAAAAAGCAAGAGTTTCAGAAAAACATCTACTTCAGCTTTACTGACTACACCAAAGCCTTTGACTGTGTGGATTACAACAAACTGTGGAAAATTCTTAAAGAAATAGGAATACCAGACCCCCTTACCTGCCTCTGGAGAAATCTGTATGCAGTCAAGAAGCAATAATTAAACTGGACATGGAACAACAGACTGGTTCCAAATTTGGAAAGGAGTATATAAAGGCTGTATATTGTCACCCTGCTTATTTAACTTATACGCAGAGTGCATCATGCAAAATGCCAGGCTAGATGAAGCACAAGCCAGAATCAAGATTGCCAGGAGAAATATCAATAACCTCAGACATGCAGATGACAGACCCTTAAGGCAGAAAGAGAAGAGTCATTGAAGAGCCTCTTGATGAAGGTGAAAGAGAGTGGAAAAGTTGGTTTAAAACTCAACATTCGGAAAACTAAGATCATGGCATCTGGTCCCATCACTTCATGGGAAATAGATGGGAACAGTGNAAACAGTGACAGACTTTATTTTCTTGGGCTCCAAAATCACTGCAGATGGTGATTGCAGCCATGAAATTAAAAGACACTTGCTCCTTGGAAGAAAAGCTATGACCAACCTAGACAGCATATTAAAAAGCAGAGACATTACTCTGCCGACAAAGGTCTGTCTAGTAAAGGCTTTGGTTTTACCAGCCGTCATGTACGGATGTGAGAGCTGGACCATAAAGAAGGCTGAGCACTGAAGAATTGATGCTTTTGAACTGTGTGTTGGAGAAGATTGTTCAGAGTCCCTTGGACTGCAAGGAGATCAAACTATTCAATTCTAAAGGAAATCAGTCCTGAGCATTCATTGGAGGGACTAATGCTGAAGCTGAAACTCCAATACTTTGGCCACCTGATGCTAAGAACTGACTCATAAGAAAAGACCCTGATGCTGGGAAAGACTGAAGGCAGGAGGAGAAGGGAACGAGAGAGGATGAGTTGGTTGAATGGCATCACCAGCTTGATGTACATGACTTTGAATAAGTCCCAGGAGTTGGTGATGGACAGTGAGGCCTGGTGTGCTGCAGTCTATGGGGTTGCAAAGAGTCGGACAAAACTGAGTGACTGAACTGAAATGTTATATATTGTATGTCCATTAACATTGATTTATAAGTATTGTTTTATAAACCATATAGAAAAAATGGAGTTAAAAGCCAAAAGTATAGTAATATTGGCTTTTATATTTACCTATATACTTAATCTATGTTTGTTTATTCTTCATATGATTTTAAGTTACTGTCTAGTGCCCTTTAAATTCGTCCCTAATTTTTAGGGCACTTCTACTAGTAACAAACTCACTTAGACTTCATCTAGAAATGTTCTTAATTTCTCCTTCATCCATGTAGCATAGTTTAGCCAAATACAGACTTCTTGGTTGATGAGGTTTTTTTCTTGCATCCTCTAAGATTTCTGAAGAGAAACTGGCTGATTGATAGTCTTTCTAAGAGATGTGTCTTTGTGTGGGCCTTTGAGTTTATCCTAATTGGAGTCCTCTGAGCATCATAAATCTGTGGATTTATGCCTTCTGTCAAATTTGAGACGTTTCCAGCTAGTATTTCTACAGATATGCTTTCTGCTCCATGTATGATAAATGTACTGCTTGGATTCCCATACTATACATGCTAGTTTACCTAACAGTGTACCACAAACAAAGCCAATTAGGCTCATTTGCTTTTCTTTATTCTTTTTTCTTCCTGTTTCTCAAACTCAAACTTCCACTTGTCCCATCATCAAATTTTCTCTGTCTTATGCTTGTTCAAATATGCTTTTGAAGCACTTTAGTGTATATTTCAATATTGTACATTTTAGTTTCAAAATGTCTTTTTGGTTTCTTTTTATAATTTCTCTTTATTGCTATTCTCATTTTGTTCATATGATGTTTTCCTGTTTTCACCCATGTCTTTCTTTAGCTCTTTGAACATCTTTAACTAAGGTGTCTTAAAAATCTTTGTTTTAAAAAAAAAAATCTTCGTCTAGTAAGTCTGACACTGGCATCTTCAGATATATTTTGCATTGATTTATTTTGTTCTTTTGAAAGGACCATACTTTCCTGTTTCTTTTTATGCCTTGTGATTTTTTTTTGAAAACTGAATGTTTCATTTAATTGATAACCCCAGAAATGAGATTCTTCCTCTAACTCATGTATTTTGTTTGTTTTTACATCGGGAGTGTCTGTGACAGGATTTAGCCTGAGGTGAAAGCATACATCTCAGGTCTTTCCTGAGACTTCCATTTTTCCAAGGCTATCTAAATCCCTCCATATATATGGTTGCTTTTGAATGTTAAAAAAAAAAACCCTCAAAACCAAAAAAACAGATGTGGCTCCTTAAAACACCATGGAAGCCATCTAGGCCAGGAGGGTTGACACAGTGGCTGCTAATCTCTGTGTCTGTACCTCTGCTTTCAGAAGCAGCAATCTGCAGTCAGAACACAGAACCTTGATATTTGAGCACAAAGTCCTTAATGCCTATCTTGGCTCCAGCAAGCTGTGCCAGAAACACAGGCTGCTGCTGCAACAGCTGTCTCCCGTGGGGCTGTGGAAATGAGGGATGGATAGCTGTTACTACACTGAGGACTGAAATTGTAATTTACCAGCCAAGCTCTATGCTGGAAATTTCAAGTATTCAAAATAGACTCCAGAGTTCCAAAGTCTTCACTTCAGTTTCTGCCAGTATAATCGTTGCCTGGATAGAGGGAGGGATTTCTGGAGCTTTTTACTCTGCCATCTTTCCTGGCATCAAACTGACCAGTTGTTTTTGAAAAGTCTCTCAAATTTGGGTTTCTCTGATATATTCTTATGATTAGATTGATGCATTATTGAAAATACCACTGATTGTGTATCTGTGGTAGAGCTGATGTGTCCTCCTTAGCACATCATATTATTGTATATTATTGGTGATAATCCTGCTCACGTTGCTAAGATGGGGTCTGCCAATATTCTACACTGTAAACTTAACTATTTCCTCCATTGTAACTATTAAATATTTGGGGCAAAACTTTGAGATTATGCAAAAATCCTGTTTCTATTTAAACTTTCACCCACTCATTTTAGCAACTATCAGTAGATTACTGTGATGTTCTGATGGTGACTTTTCCATTTTCCTCATTTCATCTACACTTATTGACTGGAATTCTTCAGTGGGGAAGAAGTGCTACTTTGTTGAATTTGTTCATATATTCACTTACTTATCTGTATTACTGTACACTCGAGGATAATTATTTTATTACTTATTTTATAATTCAATATTATAATAATTTAGTTTTTCAACTTGTTTCAACTCTGGCCATTATAAAATCTTTCAGTTTGTCTCTTGTGCCTTAAAATTTTCAGCACTTCCTTAACTTTCTGATAATGCCCCAGACTCATGCTGTTCTTTCTCAACTCACACTGTTGACTAAGGCAGTTCTCTAAGAAACACTGATTCCTTTTATTGAAGAATAGTATTATGAATCAAGAGCTGAATTCTAGGCGTGTTCATTGCTACCAGAGTATTGATGCTTCCAACCCAATGCTCTGATTTTTTGTGTGTATTAAAACAACCTTGGATTCCTGGGATCAATCCCATTTGATCAGAATGCATTACTCTTCTTTTAAATTATTGGACTTAATTTGCAAATATTTTGATAAAATTTTTCATACCTACATTCATAAGAGATGTTTTTCTGTAGCATTCTGTTTTTGCAATTTCTCTGTCTGGTTTTGGTATCAGGATAAATTAGGAAATCTATGTACTTGTTCTAACTTCTGAAAGAATTTATGACTAGCAATTAATTACTCATTAAATGATAGAAACCCTTAACAGACATCATACTATAAGGAAAATCATGGTCCTCTTTTTAATAGCCTTCTAGTGACATTTTCCACTTTACTCATATGTAACTTGACGAAGTTCTGTTGAGTATTATTGAACAGTTTTTTACTTAAGCAAAGGTAAAAAGGATCAGGGGGAGAATCCATCTTATATAAAGTGAGTTATTTTTTAAATGTAATTTAAAAATTAGTTTTGTTCTTTTTAAAATATAGTCTCTACACAAAAATAGGAATTTTTCCTTAGTTTCATCAATACTTCATTCAAAAGCTCATAAATTATCCAAACAAATCACTGTACCTATACATTTCAATAGCTCTCATATCTTCATCATCAAATTCATCTTCCGCTTCCTTCAATTCTGCAAGAGTCATCTTTTCATATGGCTTAACTGAAACACAATAAGAAGTTGTAGATAAATGAGTTATTTAAAAGTCAATTTTACTTTATAGTTACATGTCTAGAAAAACAAGAGATAAATGGATATCAAGTATATCTTTAATGTTGATATTCAAGTTTCTTCATTATATAAAGCTATATTGTGGTTGATTGTTTCATGTTTGTTTGAAATATTATTACTCCCTCAGAGTTCACAGAACTATCAAGTTACATTTAAAAATAGATGTGAAAATCAACTAGACTTCATAAATGTAGAGTTCCCCAAGTACCTGGAAATACTGGCGAGTAATACATGTATACAGAATGACAGAAATAGAAGGTAATCACAAGGCAAAGAGATGTAATAGAAAAAAAGCTCATTAGGTTAAATACTAGGGCATTTCAGCTCTAATATTAGGATGTAACTTTCAATACATGAATTAGGAATTTTAGGTGTCAGCATCCTAATTTCAAAAGTATGAGTGGGATTTCTATTAAATTATTTCTAACATCCTATCTCCCTCTAAATTCACAAAATACATGATCACTATCATAACTGTATTATTCCCTTTATCCAGACCACCAAATGCACAACTATACCCATTGCTTCTTTCTGTAAACGTAAAACCATTTCTTCAATTTCATCTTTTGGCTCTTCTTTTGGAGGAAGAATGCCAAAATCTCTTAAAATTTCATTCCATTCTGTATCTTCATTTGGATCCTATGCAAAAAAAATTTTTAAAACCTATTAGCACAGCTGTACATTTCAATATTTGTAAAACTGATATGCAGCATTTCCAATCATATAATTATTCATGAACTCTACAGACAAACTAGATAATTAGTTTTAAAGACTAGAACAAAATGGACTACTTTCCCCCCATTTCCCAGTACTAATGCAACTACATACATTGATAAAAAAGAATATATCCTGTACCCTCAATGTTATACTGAGATGTTTAATAAAAAATAAATCTAAAAAAAAAATATATATATATATATACACACTATTAATGAAAAAACTTATAAGTCACAGAAAATAATTTGAAGACTATAGTAGGCAAAACCAACTCACATCATGGCTGCAGTCACCATCTGCAGTGATTTTGGAGCCCCCCAAAATAAAGTCTGCCACTGTTTCCATTTTTTTCCCCATCTATTTGCCATGAAGTGATAGGACTGGATGTCATGATCTTAATTTTCGAATGTTGAGTTTTAAGCAAACTTATTCACTCTCCTCTTTCACCTTCATCAAGAGGCTCTTTAGTTTCATTTTACTTTCTGCCATTAGAGTGAATCATCTGCATATCTGAGGCTGTTGCTACCTCTCCAAGCAAACTTGATTCCAGCTTATGATTCATCCAGTCCAGCATTTCTCATAATGTACTTTGCATATAAGTTAAATAAGCAGGGTGACAATATACAGCCTTGACATACTCCTTTCCCATCTTGAAACCAGTCAGTTGTTCCATGTCTAGTTCTAACTGCTACTTCTTGACAAATATAGGTTTCTCAGGAGGTAGGTATGGTTTGCTACAATCCTTTATGAGATTTTCCACAGTTTGTTGTGATCCATATATACAAAGGCTTTAGCAAAGTCAATGAAGCAGAAGCAGATGTTTTTCTGAAATTCCTTTGCTTTCTTCAAGATCCAATTAATGCTGGCAATTTGATCACTGGTTCCTCTGTCTCTTCTAAATCCATTTTGTACATCTGGAAGCTCCTGGTTCATGTACTACTGAAACCTAGTTCAAAGGATTTTGAGCATAATCTTTACTAGTATGTAAACCAATGCAATTTTACAGTAGTTGGAACACTCTTTAGCACTGCCCTTCTTTGGGATTGGAATGAAAACTGATCTTTTCTAATCCTGTGGCCATTGCTGAATTTTCCAAATTTGCTGACATATTGAGTCCAGCACTTTGACAGCATCATCTTTTAGGAGTTTAAATAGCTCAGCTGGAATTCTATCACCTCCACTAGCTTTGTTTGTAGTAATGCTTCCTAAGGCCCACTTGACTTCACGTTTCAGGATGTCCAGCTCTAGGTGAGTGATCATACCATCATGGTTATCTGTGTCGTTGAGACCTTTCTTGTATAGTTCTTCTGTATATTCCTGCCACCTCTTTTTAGTCTCTTCTGTTTCTGTTAGGTCCTTTATCATGCCCATCCTTGCAAGAAATATTACCTTGATATCTCCAATTTTCTTGAAGAGATCTCTAGCCTTTCCCTTTCTTCAACAGTATTTAAACCAAGAATTTCCAGATGTCCAGGCTGGATTTATAAAAGGCAGAGGAACCAAAGATTAAATTGCCAACATCTACTGGATCATAGAAAAAGCAAGAGAATTCAAGAAAAACATCTACTTCTGCTTTATTGATTAGGCTACAGCTTTTGACTGTGTGGATCACAATAAATGGAAAATTCTTCAAGAGATGGGAATACCAGACCACCTGACCTGCCTCCTGAGAAACCTGTATGCAGGTCAACAAGGAACACAATGGGACATGGAACAATGGAATGGTTCTGAAATGGGAAAGGAGTATGTCAAGGCAAGGCTGTATATTGTCACCCTGCTTATTTAACTTCCATGCAAAGTACATCATGCAAAATGTTGGGCTGGATAAAGCAAGGGCTGGAATCAAGATTGCCAGGAGAAATATCANCACTATGCCAAATAAAAAGCAGAGACCGCACTTTGCCAACAAAGGTCTGTATAGTCAAAGCTATGGTTTGTCCAGGAGTCATGTACGCATGTGAGTGTTGGACCATAAAGAAGGCTGAGCACTGAAGAACTGGTGTTTTTGAACTGTGGTGCTGGAGAAGATTCTTGAGAGTCCCTTGGACTGCAAAGAGATCAAACCAGTCAATCCTAAAGGAAATCAACCCTGAATAGTCATCAGAAGGACTGTTACTGAAGCTGAAGCTCCAATACTTTGGCTGCCTGATGCAAAGAGTTGACTCTGAAAAATACCCTAATGCTGGGAAAGATTGAGGGCAGGAGAAGAAGGGGAAAGCAGAGGATGAGATGCTTGGATGGCATCATCCACTCAATGGACATGAGTTCTGAGCAAGCTCTGGGAGATAGTGATGGCCAGGGAAATGTAACTTGCTGCAATCCATGGGGTCGCAAAGAGTCAGATAGGAGTGAGCAACTGAACAACAACAGCAATCATCATCTTGATGTCTACTTTGTTTGTTACTAACATAGTTTATATAGCTTAAGACTAAGTACTGTTTAAATAACATGTCTTTTTCAATTCTTTTATTTCAATCCGTCTGTTTCTTCGTATTTAAAGTGTCTCTCTCTTAGCAGTATGTCGTTATATATTGCTTTTTCAACTATTTTGATAATCTCTACTTTTTAATTGAAATGTTTACTTCATTTAATATAATAAATGTTAATGTTAGATGTAGGGCCACTGTTTTCCTGTTTTCAATTAGTATTGTTTGCTTTCTGTTCCTCTGTTCCTTTCCTGCCTTCTTTAGGTTAATTAAATATTTTTTAGAATTTAATTTTTTGCAACTGGATTTTTAGGTATATATCTTTTCATTAATGTTTTAATAATTGTTCTAGAAATTGTAATCCTAACTTTAACTTATTACAGTTAATATTGGACTATTTTATATAAAATATGGGAATCTTGCTTAGTATAGTTCCATTTTCCACTATCCTATCCTTTGCTTTATTGCTGTTATATATATTAACATCTATAACATATTTGAATCACTTTAATACAATGTTAAAATTTCTGCCTTAAACAATTAAAATTAAGAAAAAATATATTTAGTTTTTAATATTTATCTACATATTTACCATCTAGGGTACTTTTCATTCCCTTTTAGATACAGTTTTTTACCTGATGTAATTTCCTTTCAGTCCAAAGAAACTTCCTTTAGTATTTATTACAATGCAGGTCTGCTGGAAATGAATACTCTCAGTTTTCATATTTCTGAAAATGTTTATTTTTTCCCAGTGTTTTGATAGATAGTTTAGCTGGATGTAGAATTTAGCTTGAAAGCTTTCCCTCCAGCATTTAAAGCATTTGAAAGGCTTTCTGGCCTCTGATGTTTCTGATGAGAAGTCAGCTAATAATGATATTACTGTTCTCCTATACATCCATAATACCCACATCTTAATATTATGTCTTTTCTCTGGATGGTTTCAAGATTTTATCTTTCTATTTCAGAAGGGTGTCTATGTGCGCTTGGTGAAGTTTTATTTTTTATTTATCTTGTTTGGAGTTCCCTAAATTCTTAGAATTTTAATTTATACCTTCCCTCAAATTTTGGACAGTTTTATCCATCATTTCCTTAATTTTTTTTCCTACCCCTCCACCCTATCTTCCCCTCCTTCTACAATTCCTTACAGTATGTTACATGTATATCCATGTTAACTATGTATTCTAGTTAAATGTATGTTAATCCATTTAACAATATCCCTTCAGTTCACTGAATCTCTATTCACTTTTAGTAGTTTTCTTTTTGTTCTTAAAACTGGACACTTTATATTGATAAATCCAAGTTCCCTGAGTCTTCCGCCACCTCCAATTTGCCATTAAGCCCATTCAGTTATTTTTTATTTTAAGTCATTGATCTTTTCAGTTCAAGAATTTCCATTTGATTGTTTTATTACTGTTTCTATTTCTCTGTTAAGATTCTCCATCTGTTAATTAAATTTCCTTTACATCCTTGAATATATTCATAATAGCTGCTTTAAATTCTTTGTTCGCTAATATTAACCTCTGGATAGTCTAAGGATCTGCTTCCATTGGTTACTTTAATTTTGATTATGGCTTTTCATTTTCTTCTTTTTTTCTTGTCTAATTTTTATTGTATACTAGATATTGAGGATGATACATCATAGAAATTCATGATTTTTTATGTTCCTCTTAAGTATGTTGATTTTCATACTTGCAGGCAGTTAACTTGGTTGGGCTGAAACATCAACCTCTTTCAACTGAAGTGGACAGCACCCAAAACCTCAGATCAGCTCAATCCTTTCATCTTATAATGGCTGTTGCCTGCCAGGCAACTTGTGGTCTCTTACCTATATACGGAGTTTACCAGACAATTATGGATTTGTGTGAATCATACACATGGAATTTAAAGATTATCCCTTCTCTGCTACTTTTCTTTCTGAGACTTCCAAATAATTCTCCCACCACTCTACCAACCCAGAACTTTGCTCTCCAAAACCCCTATTAAGATGGTTGTAAAAAAAAAAAATTTTTTTTAAAATATTAAAAAAAAAGATGGTTGTTTTCTGCCATCCATGCCATATGACTATAAAATGCCCTCATCTGTATCTAATCTTTTTAATCTATTGTGGTTTTAAAGTATGTTCACAAATTCTTTCATATGCCTTTTTTTGAGAAGTGGAACGTAATCCCACTTCCATTGAGTATAGGCTGAACCCATGGTCTTACTTCTAATAAACTGAAAATATGATGGAAGCAACACTGTTTGAATTCTGAGACTAAGTCACAAAAGGCACTGCTGCTGCTGTTTTCCTCTTTATCACTTACTCTGGGAGAAACCAGCTGCCATGTTTTTTCCACAAAAGCAGCCTGTGTCAGTCTGCGTGGGAAGCTGTGACATATCACAGGCCAGGTGACTTAAATAGAAATTTATTTTCTTACAGTTCTAGAGGCTGGAAGTCTAAAATCAAGGTGCCAGCAGGGTTGGTACTGGTGAGAACTCTCCTGGCTTGCAGGATGCTGCCTTCTTCTTATGTACTCACACAACCTTCCTGCTCTGTGTGTGGAGAGAGAGAGAACGTGCTCTAGTGTCTCTTCCCCATCTTATAAGGACACCGATCATATCAGCCATGTTTTGTAGTTTTCAGTTTATTCCTATTGTATTCTTTTTGATGTAATTATACATGGAATTATTTTCTTAATTTACTTTGATATTACAGGGTTCACTGTCATGTATGAAAATGTCATCAGATTTGAATGTCACTTTTTATAGTTTCCTACTCTCTGAAGATAATTTCAATTTTGTCTTCTGTTTTTTAAACATAATGAGCACAGTTGTTTTATAACCTGTTTCTGATCACTCAGATAACTGAAGTCTTTGCAACTCTGCTTTTGTTGGTTTATGTTCATAGTGCCCTGTCCCCCTGTGGGCATGGTTACTTTTGGCTGACTTCTGCTTGATGTCCTGACAACTTACAGGCAGGAATTCTAAGATAAAGATGTCTTTATCCACAGGATTTGCTGTTTCTTCCAGGCATGTACAAGCAATACAATATATTACTAATTTATAATAAATTCACAGTTTGAAGTTTTTTGGATCACCCAGACAATATGCTTTAGGCTGCAATCTATGTGAGAGCTGTCTTGAGCCACAACTTCTTGGGGATAGGTTTTATTGCTTTTCTTTTTATCCCCTGCTCCACCAAGCATCAAGACAATGTTCCTTGAATTCCCCTAGATATGAGTTTATCTCTGGCTCATATTCCTATTAGCTGCCCATACTTTCACAGGCTAAACTCCTGGGTTTCTTCTCACCCTGTGATTATACCCAGAATCAAACTGCAGATTGTTAAGATGCCCTTAGGGGTAAACGCGGCTTTAAAGCTCTAGAAATCCATTCACCTGCTCTTCTACTTTCCCTTCGATTTTGGTCTCATCGTTTTCTATCATGTTACCTCTGATGCTTTTAAGGATCAGAGGTAGTTTTACTTATGTTCAGCAAAGGAGTTGGTCCAAATAACCAAGCTCATTATTATCAGAAAATCCAGCAGTCATCTTTAAAAAAAAAAAAACAACCCTCCCTACACTTCACACACCCTACCACCCTATCTCTCTTTTTCCCTCCCTGCTCAAACTTCTTAAGATAGTTGTCTATATATTCTAGAATCACTTCCATCTCCCATTCACTCTGCATCCTAGTCCAAATTTGGCTTCTACCAATACTCCTTTCAAAACCATTCCAAGGTCACCTAGGAGCTCCATGCTTTCATTTTCAGTGGATATTCATTATATTTGATCTCTTAGGCAGAATTTGGGAAAGGTTGTCACTCTTTTCTTGTTAAAACACTTTCTTGACATTCATGACATCACAATGTTGTTGTTTAGTTGCTAAGTCGTAGCCAACTCCTTTGCCACCCCATGGACTAGCCTGCCAGGCTCCTCTGTTTACAGGGTTTTCCACACAAAAATACTGGAACAGGTTTCCCTTTTCTTCTCCAGGTTATGTTCCCAACCCAAGGATCACACCTGCATTTCCTACGTTGGCAGGTGGTCTCTTTACTACTGAGCTACCTTGGGAAGCTACCTCCATACTTAAGGTTTCATTCATAGCTCTGACTGTTCTCAACTGACCTGGGAATGAGTTGTAAAGGGATTTAATAGTAAATGCTCTATATGCCGATCTTCGCTTGCCTTTAAGAAATCATCTATGAAATCATAATAAACAAAATAGAAATAGGCACCACAATCCACATTATTAAAGTATTATGGTATTTATCATGACATAGTTATATCTGACTCTCTCTTATTTCCCCACAGTAACCTTTTTTTAGAGTCACACATAAGCACTGAATAACTGGCTGTTGCATAAATCAATGAATAAACAGATTAATGTGCTGTTGTCTTTACTCAATTATATTTCAGCCTGTTTCTTAAAGAGTAGATGCAAATCAGGACAAATCTGCAATGCTTTTCCATAGTGAATAAAATGTACCTTCCAGGAATCTGTTATTAATCCAAAAAGAGCATCCATTAAATTATGTTAATTTCTGTTCAAAATATCCTAATAAATTACACAGCATACATAATTACCAAAATTAAATATGTAAAACCAGAAAAATCCTAAAGGTTTTAATTGGGGGTAGCTGGTGCAAACAAGCTATTTGCTAAGTTGGAAAATGGTAATTTTACTCTGATTTTTAAAGAGGAAATAAAAGCACAGGCTTCTTGTTAATAAGGTAGCTTTAGCTAGAGGAGCAGCCTTTTTATGAATTGTTGTTCAGTCGCTAAGTCGTTTGGGACTCTTTGCCAACCCCAAGGACTATAGCCCTCCAGACTCCTCTGTCCATGAGATTCCCCGGGCAAGAACACCGGAGTGGGTTGCCATTTCCTTCTCCAGTGCGTCTTCCGGACCCAGGAATCCAACCGCGTCTCCTGCATTGCAGGCGGGTTCTTCACCGACGATTAACGGAAGTCTAACAGAGTTTTCGTGATCATGTAGGAGAAACTCCAGGGACACCTGGGCTTTCTCAAGACAGATGCGACTATTAGGGTCTCCTCTCTGACCTTTTTAAAATGTAGTGGGGTAGGATACTTAAATTGAATTACACTTGGGTTTAAAAATGATGGTCGTTTTCTCAAGTCATATATAGTGCGGCAGTAAGATTTCCAGAATTTAGGTGTGAAAGGTTTCCTTCAGCGACAAACCTTAACTCTTTCTCAAATTTTGAAAAAACGGCGTTCTCCTAGAACTTATTTGCATTTCTCTTCAACCCTGACAGAGACGGACGCAAAATTTAGCTCTTACTGAGAACAAATGTTAGAACCTAACTCCTGCAGGAACACCGCTGGGGAAGCCTTTAGGGTGCCCCACGGTCACCGGAGTCCGCTATTCCCACCTGCATGGTGTTCGGCCTCGCCTCTCACGCTCCGGCGTCGTCCAACTTCGGGCCGGGACTTCGGGCCGGGCCGGTCCCTTCAGAGCGGTAAGGGAGCCACCGCGGTCCCAGCGGTTCCCACCGCCCGCAGGAAGGGGGCGGGGAGAACGAGCGCCTAGGACGCGCTGTGCCGGGCGCAGCTCTGTTGCCGGGCAACGCGGAGGCGTGGCCTAGGCGGTGGCTTTGGGGCCTGACGCCTCTATTCTTGGGCATTTGACCCGAGGTGCCTTTCTGTTCGCGGTACTGGTGCTAGCATGCCTCCCACCCTTCTCTCCGCCACCACCCGAGTCTCCGGCATCCTTCAATCCCCGAGTCCTGTCTTCACTGGGAAGTAACAAAATCTTGGGGAGAAAAACCTTTCAGAGTTCTTCACCCAGGACCACTAGCTTATATTTGGATGGACTTCAGCGCCTGAGGGCTTGAGCCCCAGCCCTCAATGCACATGTCATTTTGTTGTATGTGTGAATTTTGGGGGTGTATTTCAGGACGAGAGCTTTCATCAGATTCTCAAATGATTCTCCCCCATCTTAAAAACCCATTGCTTTTAGGTAGGAAGCTCAGTCCTTAGGTAGGAAACCTAGATAGTTTGATTCCTTGGTGTTTCTATTAAGGAAAGGAACTGCGAGTTCCCAGGAACATGAGAAAAACGGCTGATATTGCCAAACACGGTTATACCCATAATTACAAAGATGTGAAAAGATTTGAAAAAGAAGAAAAAGTGGTTTTAGTGAGTTTTAAACTCGGGCTCAACATTGGACCACTCCATTTGTCAGTTCAGTTCAGTTCAGTCGCTCAGTCATGTCCGACTCTTTGCGACCCCATGAATCGCAGCACGCCAGGCCTCCCTGTCCATCACAAACTCCCGGAGTTTACTCAAACTCATGCCCATTGAGTCGGTGATGCCATCCAGCCATCTCATCCTCTGTCTTCCCCTTCTCCTCCTGCCCCCAATCCCTCCCAGCATCAGGGTCTTTTCCAATGAGTCAACTCTTTGCATGAGGTGGCCAAAGGACTGGAGTTTCAGCTTCAGCATCAGTCCTTCCAATGAACACCCATCTGTAGTGCCCAGTTAATACAAATTCTGCACTCCTAATGGCCCGTGTTTTGTTATATTTTCTTCTTTTTCTTATATCCTGCCTCCTCCTCCCCTCTCCACCCTCTTCTTCCCATCTTCCTCCTCCTTGCTTTTTCTCCTCTTTCTTCTTCTTTTTACTATGAGAGCACCTCCAAACATTATGTGGCCTTATGTTTCACTAGATTTCCAAGAGGCCCTGGGAGCTGCTTGAATTAGCCATCAACTCCTTTTCTTATTCTGATACTCCCAAATCCAGGCTAGTTGAATTACTGTGCATAACACTAGCTCAGGTTGCCCTGTACATCTGGGGCTTTAGAGCTCATTCCTGAGCAAGTTAAGTCCTATGGACGCTGCTCAGGCCCTAGACAGGCACTGGTTCTCTGTCTGGGCAAGGGTGGTTTCTTCATCCCTTCAAGTTCCATCAGCCCAATAAAGAAGCCAAAGCTGAGATAGAAGGAACACAAGCTTTGTTCAGTGGCCCAAGAATAGAGAAGAGGGAACTAAGATCACAGATTAACTTCTTGCCCAGATAAGGAGAGGGATTTAATTTTAAAAAGTAACGANACATAGTAAATCCATGGCTGATTCATGTCAATGTATGGCAAAAGCCACTACAATATTGTAAAGTAATTAGCCTCCAACTAATAAAAATTAAAAAAAAAGAAGTTGTGTCATTTAATATGATAATATGGTCAAATCAATGTATAATGAGATGCAGAGTCTCTCGGAGGTCAGATCTGTGAACATCTTGGTCCCAGCTGGTTGCATCTGGTTTTTGTTTGTAGCTTCCTTTATTATCTCTGGAGCCTTTAGTTTAAAGATTTATATTAACTTTTGCTAAAGGTGAGGGTTGGCAGGTTTTGAGCAAAGACCTAGAGCAGCTCTGGCAACACTCTGGGTCTCAAGTTCCCATCTTGTCAAGTCAATTCATTTTTTAAAGAAGATATTTTTTGTTCTCTTCTGCTCCTTCTTTCTTATGTTTTTCACATGGATTGACAAGAAGTGAAATTCAGGGACTCTGTTAGTAAAAGTCATAATTTAAGTTATAATCAGTAGTAAGACAAAAGTTTATTAGATACTCTGAAGAATGTAAGACCTAATCCTATCCACACAGAGAGCCAGGCTTCTCTAATCAGTTAGCAACCTGCTTGTAGAGAAGGCAGTTATCCAAGAGGCCAGATCAAAAGGGAAAACCCAGGGGAAACATCCACATGACCACTAAACACTGATTTGATGTAAGAAGTTCACCCACTGTGTTCATGATTCTCTCCTAGTAAGAGTGTCTTCTTTCTGGTAATGGACAAGGCTGGTTGCCTTTCAGATGCTGCAGAGTGAAACAATTAGATAACTAATAAGGACCTACTGTATAGCACAGAGAACTCTACAAAATACTCTGTAATGACCTACATGGGAAAAGAATCTTTACAAAAGTGGGCATATGTGTATGTGTATGACTGGTTTACTTTGCTATACAGTAGAGACTAACACAACACTGTACATCAACTATATTCCAATAAAAAATTTAAACAACAACAACAAAAAAATTTAAACAAATAAACTTAATACTACTACTTGGTAGAAAAAGCTGGCTCTTGATATGTTTGCAGCAATCAGACTATTTTATGGTGCATAAATCAGAACTTACTTATTGGGCTATTGGATTAATCATGGCCAAATCCTCCAATTAGTAATAGTTTTAGTTGGCATGCACATTCTAAGATTGCTAGCTTTTTGACATTCTGGTATTTTGTTGCTGATGAAATCCAAACAGAAAAAATTAAAATAGCTCCTTAAAACTCAACTCTACTAAGTGTCTTACATAAAAATAACTAAAGAGCATTGTAAAGAGTACCATCAACAGCTTCAAGAATCTAGGGAACATAATTATTTACAGCTTTATTATACACTATTTATCATTAAACACTAAGAAAAAATATTTTAAGATGCTTCTTTAATTTTCAATAAATTAAACATTTACAATCTCAGTCAACTTTTACTAAGAATGTTTACAACACAGGGATTCTCAAACTTGTTAAACTTAGCAAGGATTGCTTTTCAGAAGAAAAGAAAAAAAAGTCAGTACATTTTATATCCCATAGCGTTGATTCTGCAGAATATAGCTGGCATTCTGTTAAAAAAAAAAAAAGAAAAGTTTAAGTACAAATGGGTATATGAATGTATACATATTAAAGTCTATATATACTTCCTTTAGTATAGACATCTCTATAAATGGGCTTCCCAGGTGTCTCAGATGGTTAAAGTGTCTGCCTGCAATGCAGGAGACCCGGGTTCGATCCCTGGATTGGGATGATCCCCTGGAGAAGGAAATGGCAACCCATTCCAGTACGCTTGCCTGGAAAATTCCATGGATAAAGGAGCATGGCAGGCTACAGTCCATGGGGTCGCAAAGAGTCGGACATGACTGAGCAACTTCACTTTCACTTTCACACTTAGTTTGGTGTTAAAATCAGACACTTATCCCACTTAGTATTAAATTTTTGTGTTCACATTTTATAATGTCTCAACATTTGTAATATTATAAAAGGTATTTCTTTTTCATTGACTCTTTGTTCTAGTTCCTTGAAACAAGTAAAACTTAGGAATGTTTGCTCATATTCTTGATGTAACATAAGCCTTTGTTGAAACATGAGTTAATACCAAATACAGTTGATTCAAGTTCATAAGTATGTCCTATGAGCACATGAAATTTTTTCTTCACTTTTCCAATATTTGTATCTTTTATTTTTTCTTGTCTAACTGAATTGGCTGTTGCATTAAGAACTACATGGAATAAAAGGAGACACAGCATCCTTGTTTTGTTTCTGATGTTAATAGAAATACTCCAAAACGTTTTACTATCAAGCCTTCTACTGACTTTGTTTGAAGCCATTATATAAATATTGTTAATTTCTTTTCCAATTTCTTTCTATAAGATCTTCTTTGAAAACATCACAAATGTATGTGGCACTTTATCAAAAGTATCTATAGGCATACCTCAGAGACACTGTAGGTTGGGTTCCAGTGACTATCTCAGTAAAAAAAGTCACAAATTTTTTGGTCTCCTGGTGCATGTAAAAGTTATGTTTATACTATACAATAGTTAAGTGTGCAATAGCATCATGTCCAAAAAAACCAATGCACATACCTCAGTTTAAAAATACTTTATTGCTAAAAATTGCTAACCACTATCTGAGCCTTCACCAAGTCATAATCTCTTTGCTGGTAGAGGGTCTTGCCTCCATGTTGATAGCTGCTGAAGTCACTGAAGGCTGTGGTGGTTGTGGCATTTTCTTAAAATAACAATGAAGTTTGCCACACTGATTGACTCTTCCTTTCAGGAACAATTTCTCTGTAGCAAACAATGCTGTTTGACAGCATTTTATACATAGTAGCACTTCTTTCAAAACTGAATTGTGTCTCAGCGAACAGGGAGACCCAATGAGAGGGAGAGTGACAGTGGACTCGCTGGCCGGTGGAGCAGTCAGAACACACACAGCATTTATCAGTTAACTTTGCCACCTTACATGGATGTGGACACGGCACCCCCAAAACAATTACAATAGTAGTATCAAAGACCACTGTTCAGGTCACTGTAAAAAATATAGTGATAATGAAAAAGGTTTGAAGTCTTATAAGAATTACCAAAATGAGACATAACACATGAATTGAGCAAATGACATTGGAAAAAATGTCACTGATAAACTTGCTCAATACAGAGTTACCACAAACCTTCAAATTGCAAAAAATATATCTGTGAGGTGCAGTAAAGCAAAGTGCAATAAAACGGGGGTATACCTGTACTGAGTTGATTATATAATTTTTCTTTTAAAGGTGAAAATATTTTCATACACTTCCTAATGTTAAACCATCTTAGTTGATGGAATGAACTTCACTTCATGGGGTTATAGAATTCTTTCAATATATTGCTGAATACTATTTTCTATATTTTTTAATGTTTGCATTGATATTTATAAATAAAATTGACCTACAGTTTCCTTTCTTATACTAACTTTGTAAGGTTTTGGTATTAGTATTTGCTGACTTCATAAAAGTATTTGAAATTTTTCTTCCTTCTCTGAGCTGGGAAATCCAAAATTTCTTGACCTAGTACCTTGAGGGGAGAGTTCCCAGATAATGTTCTCAATTTTTCCCCTACAAAGTCATCAGTCTAGTTAGATTTTTTTTTCTTTTTTCTGAGGTTAATTTTGGTAGCAGCTAATTTGTTATACAGCCTCCATTTTATCCAGGTTTACAAACTGATAGCCACAGTGATTTGCAAAGTACTTTTATGATTCCCATTAGTTTTATACCTGTTTTAATTTCTCTCTTTTCATTTGTGTTTCTGTACATTTCTGGCTTCTTTCTTTTTCATTGATTATCAGGCTAGGAAAATTAGGAGAGTTTGTCCAACTCTGCGACCCCGTGGACTGTAGCTCACCAGGCTCCTCCGTCCATGGGATTCTCCAGGNCATAGTTCAAAAGCATCAATTCTTCAGTGCTCAGCTTTTTTTACAGTCCAATTCTCACATCCACACATGACTACTGGAAAAATCAAACCTTTGACTAGACAGAATTTTGTTGACAAAGTAATGTCTCTGCTTTTTAATATGCTGTCTAGGTTGGTCATAACTTTTCTTCCAAGGAGCAAGCGTCTTTTAATTTCATGGCTTTCTTGCTTGATTGCGCTTAAAGTATTGAATTTTCCACAAAATATGGTTCTGTTAGAGTCCATAAGTTTTAACATGTGTGTTTTCATTACCTTCATTTTCTAGAAATTGTATAATTTTGGTGTTATCTTTTTTAGTTAAAATATGTGATTTGATTTTTGTTTCTATGAAAAAAATATCAAGAATTTTACATTCTTAAGATAAATATGTACTCAAGGGTTGAGATTAAATCATATGAATGAAATATTTGCAAAAGTATGTTCGGCATAGACTCTGCATTTAGGATTACTTAAGTTAGTAGGACTTCCCTGGTGGCTCAGATGGTAAAGCATCTGCCCGCAGTGCGGGAGACCCGGGTTCGACCTCTGGGTCAGGAAGATCTCCTGGAGAAGGAAATGGCAACCCACTCCAGTCCTCTTGCCTGGAAAATTCCATGGATGAAGGAGCCTGGTAGGCTACAGTCCATGGGGTCACAAAGAGTCGGACACGACTGAGCGACGTCAATGTTAATGTCACTTTTGTCAATGTCACATCTATTAACTTTTTAGTAGAATATTGTTTTATTTCTCTGGTGTAAATCTATCAGTGTGCATTTAATTTTAAAATTTACAGTATAATAAGTATTAAGATTAACATACTTATTAAGTATGTGTGGGGCCATTCAATAGCTACTTAGGATCTGCTGTATCTCTGACACAGATATGGAAACTCTGGGAGTACCGAAGCAGAAGTCATGTTCTCCTGTCTCTCCACATTTTTCTAGTTCTCTAAAGATGGTAAGCACAACTCTTACAAAGAATCTTTGAATATAGGTTACTTGGAGGACAGAAAGGCATTCGGTCTGTAAATTCTGGCCCACTATTGTAGATACTGATTACCAAAATAAATACACAACCTCTGACATATTCTACTTGTATAGTAAATGATGATTAGGTCAATGTCTGCAAAAATGACGATGACTATTGTGACATAGTATGAGGCGCATACGACATGGGCAAAGAAAAGCTGGTCCTAAAATACTAGCATTTTCCATTCTATGATGTCTTCACAGCCTCTACCTTTGCAGTGTTTATATAGAATATTAATGTATACATTAATCAAATAATAGAAATATACTGAGCATAGGTTAATTTGTGAAGATGTGAAAATGATAAATTTTTACACTGAGTTGAATTGTGATATACATACCATTTTAAATGTAACCTTCTGATCTTCTTCCATTGCGTGGCTGGAAAATAGTTAAGTTAGAAACAAAGCAATGTAACTGAGGAGGGAAGTTAATTTTCATAGAAAGCAGACTAATGATCTCAATGAGATAACAATACCATTATTTCTTCCTTATCTATATTTTCTTTATCTATTATTTTCCTCTTTCCTTCAGTCCATTCTCCTCCAATTTATTGTTAGAATTAGTTTCCAAAATGTAAATCTTACTATATAGCTCTGCTTAGACTTTATAATAATGTTGACCTTCCTTAACTAAATATTCCATTGGCTAACATTTCCTTAGCTCAATATTTCATTAGAACTTAAGGAATAGTATCAGGACTTCCCTAGTGGTCTAGTGGTTAAGATTCCGTGCTTCCACAGCTGAAGGCACAGGTTTAGTTCCTGTTCACAGAACTAAGATCCTGAATGCCACATGGTGCGGCCAAAAAAAAAAAACTTAAGGAGTAATACACCTTTGAGACACTTATTTCCTGCAGATGAAACATTATGGAACTAATCCATGAAACAAGTGAATACTATTTGGGGTATTTACAACCATGAATACTGGATTAGAGAAGAGATCAGAGATACCATAATATTAGAGCAACAAGCTGGTGACAGAAGTGAATCTCAGACTATAACACTTGATATCAAATATCTTGGGATAAACTTAAAAACAATTAAAACTTACAAGTTAATATAAATAAATGCACAGTGAAAATACTTTTCAATGCTGATATTGATTGAATTTTTAAAGAATTATAGTATATGCATACCCTGAATAAAAAGTATCTTCTACTTTGGCTTGCAATAGGACCTTGGAATTCTTCCTGGAAGAGAAAATGAGGATATTAAAAATCAAACAGTAAAAGTAAGTGCAAATGCTTCTTGAGGATATAGTTATTTTCAACCACCGTAATTAAATAAAGAGGGAATCAAGGATTTGGGTATATAATTCATATCATTAAGTAATTTTTGTATTTACACCTGAAGAATTTTCAGTGATACTAGCAGTAAGATCAGAGTGTTGTATTTTAATCTAATTTCCTTAACAGTCTAACAGATTCTATTTTCAGGAAATTTGTGAATTGTATGTATATTCATCAACAAGTAGGCAGAAGACATTTCATAGATAAGTAACTGTTTAAAATCTCCTTTCAGCATTTTGTTAGAATAAAATAATTTCTTTATAATACATGTCATATGTGCTAACAAATGAACAGGCAAAAAATATAAAATAGAACTGTGTCATAGCTAAAAGACACAAATACAGGAATTTAAATTGAAATTGAGGGATAATTTTGTTAAACTATATTTATTCATTGAGACTTCAGAGGAAATTTTCCCCATATACTTATATACACTGAAATGGTAATTAAAAAAAAATAGGAACAAACTGATTATTCAGTGAACTGTTTCTTTTTTCAAACATTTAATTTCAAACTTAATAGAAAAATATGTAACATTTTATGATTTCTATAAATGTTGGTTCTTGTAGCTTCTTATTTTCAAAAACTACTTATATAAGTATCAGGAGTGCAATCACTATGAAATTTGTCACCAAGACCTTTTTCAAATATTCCAATATTCCATAAACATAATCATATTTTTAGATTTTAAGAAATGTCCCTGACAGCTATTAAAATGTTGAAATCCTTGCTTTATAACAAATGTATCTTAAATTCTGAACATTCTATATCTAATTCTCATCCTGACTATAAATCCCCCCAAATTACTTTAAAGATGGAAAATTTTAATATTTAAAAGTGTAAATATAAAAACTATATATTTATATAAGAACAGCTATGTATTTTATATTAAGCAGAGAAAAAGAAAGATAGGATAACATACAACTTAAAATGTGCCCAAATTTAAAGTTTTCAAACTCAAACACACAGTTCTTTTCAGTCTTATCATTGGTGATAGAAAGAACAGTATATAAAAGAATTTGGGAGGTAATGCTAAAAACCATGTTGGGATGGAAGTGAGGATGTCCAGCAAAGAAAATGTAAGGAAAGTGTTTGACTCTACTAAAATCTGAAAATTCATTTTCTTTAAGAACCCAAAATATTTCACTATCAAAAATATGGTTTAAAATTCAGCAATTTAAGCCCAGAAAAGCCAATAGTTAACTGTAATTTTTTTTAATTTGTGTTTTACTTTCTTTTCTCATAGATTCCTAGGAAACCTAGTTTTTGCTGTGAAATACTATTAGGAGCTATCATTTGTCCAATAAGATATTACTACCAAGCCAGAGTTCATGCTCTCAGCTACTTATCTGAAAATATAGTCTCACTCAAGGTGGAACATTGAGACAAAGTACGCAGCTGGCCACGCTACTGAGTAGTTTTGATTTTGCAAATAATAACACTGAAATGTTGTAGTAAACTAATAATTTTGCTGGTGTATTTTAAGAAACTGGATTTTTATATTGAAATTTTACACTATTCAAAAGTCAAGAAGACTCTTCAGAAAGTAAAAGTTAATTCAAAAAGCATATATTACTTCTAGAAAGTTGACAACTGATTTGATTTTTTCATGTTGGAAATTCTAAAATTTTAAGGGGCTACTACAGTTCCTCTTCCATTTCTCATTAAAGCTGGCAGCAGTATTGTCTTCCATGATGGAGGCTTAGTTCAACCATGTGAAGCATTTAGGGAGGAGATAGTGATCATAAAAATAAATTTTGAGGAATTTATTTGCCTAAATTGTATGCATTTTTAAAAGTATTTTAAAACTTTTGGTAGCAGAAGAATAAAATTAATATGGTACTTAAGAAAAATCTAACAATAAAATAACAGAAATATTCAAGATTAGACTACCAAGGGAACAGCATAGTGGAAAAAAAATATTTCCCTAAACTAGAAGTCAAGAAATTGTTGTAATCTCTAATCCCACTCACTACTGTGATCTTGGGAAACTTCTTTAACTATTCTGAGTTGTTTTTCTTTTTGTAAACCAGGCATAATACTACTTATGTAAGTATCAACAGAATTGTCAAAAGAATAAAATGAGATCCTGTAAGACTGAAAACTATAATGTATTCCAATAATGGAAGGCATTACATAAGAACAATGCCTACAAACTTTCATCATCGAGAGAATTAGGATTCTTTTCAAAGGGCAGTAAAAATGTCACAATTTCCAGTTTAAAAAGATGTTAACTCAGTTATATTTACCTTAAACATAAGACACTGGATTTGGGCCATATTTTTGCTAATTGTGGAAACAAACAAAATACCTACATTTAATTTCTGATACATTTACTTCATAAACCTTATTCTTACTAATGCTTCGCTACCTGGATAGAAAGCTTGTCATTCAAGCCACATGTACACGGAGGGGTCAGTAAAGGTCCTTGATGTTTTCCCCTATTCCTATCTAACGACTCGATAGGAATGTCCTTTCTCAAACCAAGAATGAACAGGTTGCCTCACTGGGAGGGGCCGGTCCTTGAAAGGAAGTCTAATCCAGGCTTTCCTCGCTGCCCACAGCCTGAGTTAGAAGGACATACTGCGGGGAGGGGGACAGTGCTCCTTCTCCTGAGTGTGAAAATACTCCTGCAAACCAGCGCCCTTCTGCAGGCCACCTGGCTGCTACCTGAGGCCTATGGGGGAAGATCTTGCAAACCACCGCCCCTGGGATAAGCAGAAAGGGCTGCCCCACACGCAGGGGCGGAGCGCGCGTGCAGGCAGGTACATACGTCCAGTCTGAACCTCTTCATCCTTCTCTCATGCAGGCGCGGGACGAGCTGCAGCAGCGGATGCACGACAGACGACTGAGGGACACGAACACACACGCGTGATGAGCACAGCGGCTTCCCAGCCCTGGGCGTAAAGACGGCTTCCTATCTGCCTTTGCTTTTATCCACTATGCTCGCTCCGGCCAGAAAAGAACGGGAAAGATGGGACCCAAGACAGTCCTCTGTGAGCATTTCAGAGAGCCGTGGAGAATAGGCCAAGGGATGGAATAAAAGTTGGCAGTTCTGTGCTGGGAATCTCCATCATTCTGTTGATGAAGCTCTTTCCTGAGGGCCTGAACTCCATCACCAGCCAACAAGGAAAACCCCTGCCTGTATCTTTGAAAAGCAAAAAGCCGCCTGTCTGCTTCCAGACTTACTAAGAACAGTCTGGGACAAATGAAATCAGCTCTCTAAGAATCAGTTTTCCATCATGAACATGTTCATCTGTAAGATTATACTGTACACACATCTAGTAATCTTCCTTATAAAATATATATTTCATTTAAAACTGAACACGTGGAACAAGACAACAGGAGACACAAAAAATGGCAATGTGTCATTGATAGTGAAAAATGTGACTAACATACATGTTCCCAAGACATCAAGATGCTAAGCAGAAGAAAATGAAAGCACATCTGAGACATGTGGCTACCTGATACGGTTTCATTTTAAAGGCATGGCTTAAATGGAACCTTTTCACAAACATTAAATTCATTCATCAAACGGATTAACTTTAAGCCACTTATAATGGTTACCTGTTAATCAGTTCAACATGTATTTGGTTTAAAGCCCATATAACCTAACTTTCAACTCCTCACATGTAAGAGAAGTTGTTATTCAATGAGATAAATATTTAAAACTAAGTTTATAGTTACAGTCACATTCCTACAGGTAAACATATGTTTAAAATACACTATGTTCCTCATTCCATAAAATGGCCCATGATAGTGATAGCTTAGAAAGAATATTATGTCAAGTAATTTTTAAGTATTCTAAATTGAAACACTGAAATAGGTTGGTTAGCACTTTATAAATCCATGCATACAAAAAGAAAACCACCACTACAGCCACATAATTTAGAAGTGAAATGAATTAAAGTTATTGGTATCTGGATAATCTGAGAGAGTAAATTCTCAAATGCCTAGTTACAAATAAGGAGCTCTTAGGAATACAAATCAATATTTCTGAAAAAGTAAAAGTGTTGGTAACTCAGTCATGTCCAACTCTTTGTGATCCCATGGACTGTAGTCCTCCAAGCTCCTCTGTCCATGGAATTTTCCAGGCAGGAATACTGGAGTGGGTTACCATTCCCTTCTCCAGGGGATCTTCCTGACCCATGGATCAAACCCGGGTCTCCCACACTGCAGGCAATAATTACATTTTTGACAATCATCTTTTAAAATATTTCTTAAAATGACTTTGCATAAGCCTTTTTCCACTGCACTAATCAACATCTAAACCAACATGATTTACTTAATCATATTTGCACTTTTTGGCCTCTAAAATGTAAGTTGCATGACACTGCCATTATTTCTAGTACCTAGAATTGTGCTTGGCTTGGTACATAGAAGATACGCAATAAATAATCATTGGATGAATAAATGAATGGATTTAATGTACTTGTAGCTATTGAGATATAAAATAAATGTATAATAAATACTGAATTCCATTTGTTCATTTATATATAAATGTTTAAAGAAAAAAAAAACCATGAATCTTGATCTAGCTCTATGATAAAGCGCAAAAACAGTTTTTTTTAAAAAAATACAAGTGATCACTTAATAAGTAATTCTACAACTTACCACAACATTTGAATTGCCCAACTTTCGAGTCTTCGAATAATGAAATAAGAACTGTTAAAAAAAAAAGTAGTGAGCTTTACTTTGAATCATCAGAGGTTTCCTGATTATTTTTAAATGTATATACTTATGAAATCACCTTACCCTTTTGGTGTTATCTTTTTCATCTGTTTCCTATTGAAAAGAGATTTATAAATATATTATATTAGAAAATAATAAGAAATATGTATAAAATTTATAAATGTAAAATATACAATTTATAATTTATTATAAGATTATAATTCTTAAAACATGTGCTACATATGTTATATATAAAATATAAGACTGAAATTAGTTAAGTACATATTGTTCTAAAAATAAATGGGCAAGTAACTAAAAACTTTATAAATAAGAGTATGAAAAAAGATCTCTACTACAGCATTATTCATAAGAGCAAAAAATTGGAAACATCATGAGTGTTCTGTAGTGATGGAATAGGAAATTCTGATATGATCACATGATAGAATATTCAGAGAAAAAGACTAGAAGGAATCACATCAAACTATTTGTAATTGTCACTGCATAGTAAGATTTATCAGTTATTTTTACTTCCTTCCATAAGCTTTTCTAGAGTCCTCTCTCATTCCAAAATGTTGTCTTTAAGATTGAGACATATCGAAAAAAAAAAAAAGAATGAGACATATCATTCCCTTTTTGTTGTTCTTTTCTGTTCTCATTTGCTTTTAATATAAATAGAAACTCATGGGTAAACACCATTGTCGTATATTTCCTCTTAATTAAAAAGTCAATTAAGTGGTTTGGAAAATGTCACCGTTAAAAACATCAGAAAAAAATACTGCTGTAAACACTTAGTTTCCAAAAATATTTTGTTTCTAAAATATCAAGTTTTCTTTGAATTACTGCGTGTGTGAGGTATGGAAATCAGAACACACCAACAATAACAGGTTAAACTACTAATGAAAAATGTTTTCTAAACCTGAGGCTTTTATCCTTAATAAGGTAGTTTTAAAATTAGTTCACCTATAAGATATAGAACATCAACTGAGGTATGGTACATTATGCCATTTTTCAAGTTCCCATTGCCTCACTTCAGGACAAAAAGTTCTCCCAGAAGAATCAAATAATAATTTTAATAAGAAAGCAAGACATCACAGTAAGAATATAATTTTCAAACCGACATGGACAATACAGTTTGCTTTTTTTTTGCATTATTAATGTCCTCTCTGACAAAGTACAGTGTCCTAACCTCCAAGCTTAGAAAAATGCATCTGGTCTCCAACTGATGATTCAGGGAAAGAGAAAGAGCCAAAATGACCCCAAATTTCTCTCATCAGAACTAGAACACATCTTATATTTGAGGGGGGCATATGATTTTCCAATTAGATGATTGCAAACTCCACTAATATGACCCTAAATTCTCAGGCATCAAAGAAACTGAAGTGTTTGCTTCTTATCCAAAATCAACTTATGTTTGTTCTTATAGCTCCTCTTAGCATGCTTCCTAAATTGAGTGTATTTTCTTCCAGGAGGAATTCCAAGATATTGCTGAGCAATTGTTTTTGCCTACAAATTAAACACCATTTGAACCTTACCTGGGGCTTTGGTAGAGTCCCCATAATTGTGAGGCAAAGCTCCTCCAATGCACTGGATGCCTAATATAAATAAGAAGATACACAGATGATGCTTCTGCTTTAACAATATTTGCACAGAAGAAATAACCATAAAATGTCAGGATCATGAGGATATATATTTCAATACCCTAAACAGAATTCTTCTTATGGCCCATTGAAACTGTTGAAATTCTTCATTTTCTCTCATGACAAAAAATTTGGCTCCTAAAAGTAAAACCGTCTTTCCAACCAGGAAATAAAAAGTTGTATATTGCACATATGCACTGATTAAGGATTCCACTGGGGGTCCAGATATAAAACTTCTCAGTATTTGCTAAAATTCTATGACTGAGAATAATGAGGAAGTGCAAAAAGAGCGGTTATTCTTCTCAGCTTGCTGCTAAACCTGAATCTACATGCCAAAGCGGTGAACCTTGATGAATTTACTCATTATTGGCTAATTTGAAAATCCTGGGAAAAAAAAAAAAGAAAGAAAATCCTGCACTTGTTTGCAAACAATGGGAGTTTGGATGAGAGGAAGCCCAGGCCAAGCACAGCGCACCTAAGCCGAGTTCCCACCCTTCTAGGTTGCTGACTGCACACCCCAGGATCAGGTTTTTCAAAGCATCTGAGCCTAGAAGCAGGGCAGGGCTCCTGTGGCTTACAGACAGCTGGGTGTGGTTAGGAGGAGCACGGAGGGACAAGCAGGGGCGAAACCTGCTTTGCACAGAATTCAGCATAGTCACATCAGAAACAATTGATTACTTAATAAATACATATTGGAAATAATAAGCTGAAATGGGGTGGGGGAGCATCTCTGGAGTTGAGCAGCTTGCAACTCGAGCAGTACAAATTCCATTTCTCCTCTTTATTAGCTGTGTAACCTTAGGCTGGTTGCCTAACCTCTCTTAACTTCAGTTCCTGTCATCATAAATCAAGGATGGCAACATCAGTGCAGAATTCTTGGGAGGATTATATGTGCTAAAGCTCTTAGCACAGTGCCACAGACAGAGCAATTAACAGCAGTAGCATTAAAAAAATGTGTGATCTGTAAAGCTTGACTTACAGCTGCAGTTACTGCCAATTCAGAAGATGTGTCATGAAGGACTATTCAGGGCCACCAAGACCCTTGCCCTTGGCGCACACATGTTTAACAGGGTAGGCTATAGCTTAGGGATACAGGTGGAGTCACGAAGCAGCTTCTCTGAACACCTTTCCTAGCACATCAGAGGCCTGCTTTGTTCTGTTTGTTTGCCTGCCCAGTGCAAATTGTTGGGATATTTATTAACTATATTAAATGGTTCATAAGTATGTAATATTTCAGTAAATTATAAAACATTTTCATACACATAATCACACTTTGTCCTTAAAACACAGCTTGATATATACAGGATGGGAATTGTTATTCTCACGTATAAAGCAAGTGAGCTTCCAAGAGACTGTGACTTACTTGCCCAGTACCACACACAGCTAGGTTGTCTGACCTAGTTTTGCACTGGTATTGACTGCTAAGCCTATGATTAGGAGTTAGATGAGAGAAAAAATATATCTTTCACTTTTTCCCTTCATGGTTGGGTATGCAGGTCACCCAGAAAAATCTAGAAATAAATTCCTGAAACTTCTTTTTATGGTCCATCTAGAAATGCTGCAAAATACAAAACAATAAAAAAGTCTAGTGATATCATATGTCTCAGCTCAAAGAAGAATAAATTCAGATACATGGGTGTCTCCTTAGAAAACAGCTTCTAAGTCAGACGAGGTGTGACAACAAGATTGAAGTCTGACAGAAAAAGTTTCCAAACAAATTCTATTTCCTTCAGCAGCTTTTTACATGAAGCCATATTCACTGAGCTGCAACTGTTGTTTATTTTTTTTTTTTGTGTTTTTTTTTTTTTTTTTTTTTTTTTTTTTGATGTTTTTTGTGAGTGTTTATTTCCTATTTGGTAAAAATGTTTTGAAGAACTCTTCAGAGAATCACATACATCATAGCTAATGTGAAAATTAATTATTTTTTTAATGGTATCAGTTAGTGTAAAAGCTTTCATAGTAAATTTACCAAGCTTTCCTCAAAAGGCACACAGTCTCCAAAGCCAATAAAAGCCTAATTTACTTTTATGGTTTTTAGATGAGCGCTTTAAAATTCATCCTTTTAATTTTGCAGACATAAAAGTGATTCTGAGGGTGCGCCTGAATTTTGCATATAATGCAAAAGCTTGTGTGCTGATTAATATCCATCCCATGTTATATATCCGCCAAGGTTCCTCAAACAATTTGAAATATCATTCATAAATGTCAACCTATTGTGATTCTGGTTTCTCTTTACCTCCTAATGCCTGCAGGCGGTCCTCGCTGAGGACCCAGTGCGGCAGCAGAAATGCAGCACTTTACAAGGCTGCTACTCCACACCGGCCAGGATGCCATTCTGGAAGGACTGTGTGAAGGACAGGCGCTGCACCCTGGCCCGACCGTGCAGTGATCACCCCAGGCGCAGAGCTGACTGCGCTGAGAGAGGCTGGGCCCAGAGCCTCTGCCGAGCCCTCTCTGATCAGGAGACTAGTGATGCTGATTCAGGAAGGTACGACACGAAGGCTAGCTGCTACACCGGCACTCAGGGACGGAGCTGCAGACAGAAGGAGCAGCGTCCAGCAGAGACGTGTAAGAGCACGCTTACTTCCCACTCCTCCCCGTGTTTCTGGGACAGGCGGGGACCCAGGACCTTTTGCTGTAATGCTTGTAGCTGGACAAAGCTCTCCTTGAGCAACAANTGCTCCCTCTGCTGCAACAGGGGCCCCAAAATCCTTTGTCTGAATTTCTTGCCTGGCCTCTAGTCAATTTCTACTTATTAGGGGAGGCCAGGAACCCTGGGTGCTATCACTTCCAGGTATAGGAGCTGGACTAATACTCCTCTCTCCCCAGCCTTCTTTTAGAAGAGGAATGAGTTAACCTGACCGATGATTGGAAGCAAGAACCTGGGCACGCTCGGTCCAGCCCTTGCCTCTCAGGTAGCCAGTTCTCTGGCCAGGTGTTCTTGCCTTGTCACTGCCCTGGGGCACAAAACCTGATTCTGGCAAACGGCTTGAGTCTCTGACTAACCTCAGTTTCATTCTGGGGGTAGTTTTAGCAAGGTCAGCATATCTAAGGCCACATGTACCAACTGACTTTTCAGTTACAATGATATTTTTATCTCCTAAATCTGACTCTGTAAGTTCATCTCTCCATGGGTTGAAAACTCAATTGAGGGACCAGGATACTAGTTCCGTAATACAACCAGAGACACATTTTAACACAAAATTTGATTTTGAAATTAGCATTTTACTTTCTAAAATATGGGTATTTTATCTGCATATCTATTGTTCTTAGAGGTAAAGCCTGGCACTTTACATAAACTCTTGGCACTCATTATTACCTGCCGATGATATAATAATTTCCAATATGTTGACATGTTTTAATAAGTCCATAAAATCATGACAGGTTCAGAGGGAGAAATGCATATTTCAGCATGACACAAATGCTTACATCACTCTGAAACAACTCCATTTGGAATTACCTGAGGCTGTGGATGCACGGACAACAAAGACAAACAAGCGTCATTTATCTGTAAAACACGAAAATTCCAGTTACATCCTGGAAACAGACAGGCGATCACAAAAAACAGAAAGCAGATTTTATAAAGTCAGGTTACTTGTAAAACATTAATGAAGGTTCCATGACTGTTCAGGACTCTGGATTTGGGAAGGAGGAGCCTTTTAAACTATCTAAGGAAGTCCTGGAATTGGAATTTCCCCAAGATCTGACCCCAGGCACAGGGGTATACATCCCCATTTCTAGTTGTAGGGATCATCAGAGATAAGAGATGCTTCAAACATTGAAGGGAAAAACTTTTAGTGTTATTCAGCCTGAGAAATGTGTGTGGTGACTAAAGAATGGCCTCAAAATTAAGGAGCATCCTGTTATGTGGTTCTTTACTACATATAAATCTAATCACATCATCTAAACTAACAGGAAAATAGCATACATGCTAAGCAATAAAGAGTATACAGTAAAAACTTTTTCTTACACAACATGAGCCATCTTCTAGTTCTCTATCAAGAAGCCAGCATTAGAAAATGGTTCTATTTTACAATGAAGGTTTATTGACTACGCTTGACAACCAGCTGTCCTCAGCTTTTATCCTTAAAAGAAACTTCAAAAGATTTTAAATTATAGTATAAGAGATTTATATTAACCATTAAAAACTGTGCTGAGAAGTTAAGCACTATGTTGGGGGTCTAGAGTAATTAATGGCATTTATGACTTTAGTGGCCTTTTAAAATGGGACTGGAAAAAATGAGACTGATTCTTGTCTGTCTGGGATGATTTAGGTTGAGTCCTATTTATGACATAACATCTCAAGGGTCTCCTTTTAATTCTAGAATTGTTTAATTTAATTTCTCACTCTAAATTGAAGGGAGGATAATTATATCCTTCAATCATAATTTCTTAAGCTCCTTATTGTTTCCAATAAACATGAAGTAAACTAAAACATGAACTAAAATATCTAATTCTCTAACCTAGAGAATAACAAAAGTATATGTGTTAACATATAGTATTACAGAAAAACATATTTGTGTCTCCTTTTTACGTTCACAAAACTTGTATTGGGAGAATTGCTTTATTCTATTTGTCCCTTGTGTCCATCACCTGCTCCCTCTTCGAAAGATTCTTTTCAGAATCTCTCTCTCTCTCTCTCTCTCTCTCTCTCTCTCACACACACACACACACATGCACACATACACACACACACTCAGGGTAAACTTCTTGAGGTCAGGGGCTATTTAATGTGCTCAAATATGTGATCAATAAATATTCTTTAATTAAATTGTATTGAGCTTTTAGGACATAAAGAAGAAGTCAATTGAGAGAGGAAAATCAAAAGATACCCTTTTAAGCTTTGAATTGTGACCAATGCTTAGTGTATCTTCCCCAAACATGATTAAATTTGCCTTAGTAGTGTAGGAGGAAGTGGTCCCTCACAAAATAGTGATGTTTAGGTATCTGAAGATGTTATTTGCTCAAGAGTAAGCTGTCCACCCCCAGCCCAGGCTGCCCATCTGTGTGAAGTAGTCAAGTCCAAAGACCCTTGAAACTCAGGCTTCACTAATCAGAGCATCACTATTGCTTGAATAAAAACATCAGAATAAGAAAAAACTCCAGTTAATCAAAAGTAGATAATTGCAAAGCTTTTCAGTCTCTGTACTCCTTTTTTAAAAGGCAGAGCTGTGCCGCCTGCCGTCTTTCCCTTTGGGTAAGCACTTGTTCATTTTATTCAATTTATGGCCCTGATGGTTTTAAGTACCACTAATTGCTTTTGAGAACTCTGTGGAGTCCATTGATGAATCCCTTTGAAAATGGTTAGGTCTCTGTTTTTGGTTTGAAAAGTACCTGTTTCTAGTGTCTGAATAGCTTTGTAATTTTGAAAACCTCTGGTAGAAAGCTTAACTATATGTTCTAAACATTTTACTTTTTAAAATATTTTTTATAAAAGAATTTATAATGGTTTTACAACTCCGTTTGATTATCATCTAAAAGTTTTTTCAAAGATTTTTCACAGAAATATAATTTCAAGCTAAAATACATGTTTCTATATTCTACATTAATATCCATTATCTAATTTGTCATCTTATTAATATATTCTGCTGCTGCTGCTGCTAAGTTGCTTCAGTCGTGTCCGACTCTGTGCAACCCCATAGACGGCAGCCCACCAGGCTCCACCGTCGCTGGGATTCTCCAGGCAAGAACACTGGAGTGGGTTGCCATTGCCTTCTCCAGTGCATGAAAGTGAAAAGTGAAAGTGAAGCCGCTCAGTCGTGTCCGACTCTGAGCGACCCCATGGACCGCAGCCCACCAGGCTCCTCCGTCCATGGGATTTTCCAGGCAAGAGTCCTGGAGTGGGGTGCCACTGCCTTCTCCGTCCCGAAGCACAGAGTGCCTCATTTCTGCTCTCCACCCTGAACTTTTTCAGGAAGTGTTGAAGGTCAGCAGCTATAGCTGCACACAATTTAATCGTTGTAGCGGTAGATGGCAAGCACCCACAGCAAGTGCCAGTTTGTGGTTGGCAGACATGTTGCTTATCTCAGTGTTGGTGCAGGTAAAATGTTTGATTAAGTTCACATTTTATTTAGGATTAACAAAACTCTTAAGAAAGGAGAAGAGAAATTCCTTAACTAGGTGAACATTAAATAACAGAATTCTAGAGGAAATTTATACTTTATGGAGATCCTTTAGCTACATTTACTGTATGTAAACATAGTACTGGAGGCTTCTGGCCATTGATTGGAAGAGGGCTTCCCTGAGGGTTCATAGTAAAAAATTTGCCTGCAATGCAAGAGACCTGGGTTTGATTGCTGGGTTGGGAAGATCCCCTGAAGAAGGAAATGGCAACCCACTCCAGTATTCTTGCCTGGAGAATTCCATGGACAGAGGAGCTTGGTGGGCTACGGTCCATAGGGTCACAAAGAATCAGACACAACTGAGCGACCAACACTTTCACTTTACAAGGAAATAAGAAATTGTTTCTTCAATACTTAGTGTATTAATATTGCACCTTTTGGACATAAAGTATTGTTTCTAGGAATTTATCCATTTCATCTACATTTTCAAAATTATCACCATATAGCTGTCCATAATGCTTGGGGGGAGGGCGGGTAACAGCTTATTGAGACACAATTTATATTTCATACGACTCATCCATTTAAAGTGTACAGTTCAATGGTTTTTAGTGTTATTTATAGAGTTGCACAAACTTCACCAGTCAATTGCCTATAACACTTATTTAAAATATTTATAAAATCTCTATTTTTGTTGATGATCTACTTTTATTCAGTCTTTGTCCTTTTTTATCCTTCTCTTTCCCTCTGCCTTTTTAAAATCAGCACTGCAAGTGTTTATTAACATTCTGAAACAATAAATATATGGTTTTGTTAATATTGTTGTTCTCCTTCTCTCTCTTTTAAAAATCTATTTCTGCCCTTATTTTTATTATTTACTTCATTCCTGTTTATTTGAATTTTCCCTGTTGTTCTTTCCCCTCATTTTTTAGCTGAATGCTAAGGACATTTGTTTTTAAATTTTCTTCTGTCCTGAAAAATATATATGAAGTTTATTTCTAGCTACTGTTTTAGCTGTAGCATACAAACTTTGACCTATAATATTTTTATATCATCCTTTTCAACATAGAGCTATTCACCAATGCCATATATTTTCTAAGCAAATGGGATATTTAAGTTATCCCTTTGCTGATAGTTCCTAACTTTATTGCATTATAATTGGAAAACATTTTAAATGAACCCTTTCTAACTTACGGAAACCTTCTTGTCTTATAAGACACAGTCTACGTTTTTAAATGCCTCAGTTATATTCAAAAAGAATGTGCATACTATTTAGTACATGCTTTTTAAAATATTTCCAATAGCTCAAATTTATGAATTGTATTGTTAGGTCTTTGACATATCTACTTGTGTGCTGTTTGCTTTAACAATCAGTTTTGAGAGAGGTATACTAAAACCTCCAACTACAAATGTTCATTTATCTATTTTCCCCTGAATTTCTATCAATTCTTAAATAAGTTTGGAGATTCTTCCGTTAATACGGGCTTCCCTGATAGCTTAGTTGGTAAAGAATCTATCTGCAATGCAGGAGACCCTGGTTCGATTCCTGGATTGGGAAGATCCACTGGAGAAGGGGTGGGCTACCCACTCCAGTATTCTTGGGCTTCCCTTGTGGCTCATCTGGTAAAAGAATCCACCTGCAATGCGGGAGACCTGGGTTTGATCCCTGGGTTGGGAAGATCCCCTGGGGAAGGGAAAGGCTACCTACTCCAGTATTTTGACCTGGAGAATTCCATGGACTGTATAGTCCATGGGGTCACTTTCATTTTCACTTCTGTTAATACATATTAATGATGGCTGTATCTTTTTGCTCTTTTATCAACAAATGTTTATCTGTTAAAATGGTTCATGTACTTGAATTCTATTTTATCAGTGTTAAGACTGCTACTCCAATTTTTGTGCAGTTCATATTTACTTGCTGTCATTTTCCATTCTCAACTACTTTTTGTTTTCTGCTTCAAGTGTGACTTTACATAGACCATGTTGCTGAATCTGTTTTTAACATCTGGTCTGATAATCTCTTTTAAGTGGTGTATTTTAGCACATTCATATTTATTCTTATTATTCTATTATTAGGATTTATTTCTGCCATCTTCACCATTTACAGTATTTTTGGTTTCTTTTCATCTTGCCTTCTTTCATTTAATAAAAAAAATTATGAATTCAGAATATTGCTAAAATTGCAAAGCTCAATTAATTATTTCACTTTACCGTGATAATTTTATTTTATTTTATTTTTTGTGATAATTTTAAAAAGGGTAAATTTCCATTAATTTGTGTAATGATAATTCTTTACCTCATTCCACAACTGTAATTCTTGTTCAGGCTGTAATCCTTGAGGTAATACTGGAGCACCTAAAAATAAAGTTATACTCACAAGTTAATGTTATAATATTTCTCCTAAAACTAAACATTATATATAATTCATTTTTGGATGATATTTCTCATTTTTCACTGTATATCATTATCCTCCTAGTTCATTAGGAACTCCGGATTTGACTCAGTATAAGGATTCCCTGGTGGTTCAGCTGGTAAAGATCCCCTTGCAATGCAGGAGACTGGGGTTCGATCCCTGGGTGGGGAAGATCCGCTGGAGAAGGAAATGGCAACCCACCCCAGTATTCTTGCTTGGGAAATCCCATGGACAGAGGAGCCTGGAGGGCTACAGTCCATGGGGTCCCAAAAGAGTTGGACATGACTTAGCGACTAAACCACCAGCAACCAAGGAGACATAATTATTAAACAAACTTTAATAGCATTACAAAGACGTTACTCTCAAGAGTGAAAGACTTGTATGTCCACACAAAAACTTGTACATGAACATGCATAGTAGCATTATTCATAATAGCCCTGAAGTGGAAACACTCCAAATATCCATCACCTGGTGAATTAACAAAATGTAGTACATCCATACAATGGAAAATTGTGGTCCATAAGAAGGAATGAACTATCGACATAGGCTGCAAACAGAGATGAATCTCAGATTGTGCTAAATCAAATAAGCAAATGCACAAGATTATATTCATACATATAAATGTATGGATCCATTACTATGGAACGTCCAGAGAAGGCAAATCTATTGTGTTAGATTACTGGCTGCTTAGGGCTGAGGATAGGAACGGGGACTGACTGCAAACGGACATGAGATATTTGGGGGATGATGGCAAACATCATCATGTTGTTGTGATAGCCGCACCACTCTTTATTTTCTTTCTCTCTCTCGTCTTTTTGGTAGAGATGAATCAATACTTTATTTGTTAAGAAGAAGTAACTACTAAAAGTTTTGTAAAACAGAGCATAAAAAAGTAAGAAATCCATTCTACTTAATTCAGAATGCTTGAAGAGTCACTTACGCCACTATGTATGATAATGCAGGAACAAAAATTTATTACAGACATATTTTTTTTAGTTTGAGTTTAGTGCTGGCCCTTGTTTGACCTAAATATTATAAAGAATGATATTCAACCAATTGAAATAACATTTTTCAAGTAAGACAATGCCTCCAGGGTATTCCTAATGTGATCATGAAAGAGAACTTAGATGATGAAGTATCACATAAAATCCATGTAAATGCATGAATACAATGTAATAGCACAACTTTATGTAAACTTTATGTTTATTTTTATGTAAATCACTAGTACTTCCTATAACTAATGGGGCTTCCCTGGTAGCTCAGATGATAAAGAATCTGCCTGCAATGCAGGAGATCAGGGTTCAATCCCTGGGTCAGGAATATCCCTCGGTAAAGGGAATGGCTACCCTCTCCAGTATTCTTGCCTGGAGAATTCCATGGAGAGAGGAGCCTGGTGGGCTACAGTCCATGGGGTCACAAAGAGTTGGACACAATTGAGTGACTAACACTTTATTATAACTGGAAGTTTGTACGTTTTGACCACCTTCATGAAAACTTATTTATACCATAAATCACAAATTAATTTAAATTAAAAGACAAACAAAAACCCTCAAAATGTATGAAACATATTTAATAAAAGGTGATGGCAGAGATCCCTATAGGATAGAACTCTTTTGAATCAATAGACAAAAAGGAAACATGGATAGGCAAATGAGTGCCCAGCTCTTTAAGTCCACTTAAAAACCACTGAGCTACATCATTAAACAGATCAATTTTGTGGTACATAAACTGTATCTCAGAAAAGGTCTTTTAAAAAAAGAATTACTTGTTGAGGCCTTAATTATTGTTGAAATAAAATGTTAACTAGCTTATATCCTCTAAAGCAATATTTTCTTCACAGGCTTAATTTGCAAATTCATGCTGTATAAATTATAAATATTAAGTGTAATTATATATATATATATATATATACATTTATTCTTACTAAAGTTAAGAAAATACGCTTTTATGAAAATGAAAGTGTTAGTCTGACTCTTTGTGACCCCATGGACTATACAGTCCATGGAATTCTCCTTGGACTGTAGCCCACCAGGCTCCTCTGTCCATGGAATTCTCCAGGCAAGAATCCTGGAGTGGGCTGTCATTCCCTTCTCCAGGGGATCCTCCCACTCCAGGGACGGAACCTGGGTCTCATGCACTGCAGGTGGATTCTTTACCACTGGAGCCCCCAGGAAATCCACAGGCACTGTGTTATGCATGAAAACGTGTCAGGTCCTTAAACCTTGAAACCAACCTTTCAAGGTAGCTATTCTCCTTATTCCCATTTTAAGATGAGGCAACTGAAGCAAGGAAAGATTTAAACAGTTTGTCTCGGGTCACGAAAATACATACATAGCAGAAGCAGATTTCAAATCAGGTCTGCGTGCAGGCTCAGTCATGTCTGACTTGTGACCCGATGGACTGTAGCCCGCCAGGCTCCTCTGCACATGGGATTTCTCAGGCAAGAATACTGGAGTGAGTTGCCATGTCCTCCTCTAGAGGATCTTTCCAACCCAGGGATCCAACCTGGGTCTCCTGTGGCTCCTGCATTGGCAGGCAGATTCTTTACCGCTTGAGTAACCTGGGAAGCCCTCAAACCAGGTATGACCGATTCCAAATCCTAACAGATTTTTCCCCTAATTCTACCACTTTTCAGTCAAGTCTTGCTTTGAGTTCACTCAAATTTATACTGTTATTGAAGCTAAGTTCTAATAAAAGTAACAGTATTTAACTACATTTTCTGTACCCAGCATTAGAAGTAACTTACATGGATCATGTAGTCCATAGTCGAGAGTTCATTTATTTGACTCCCCTTTCATGGGACAGCTATTCTAGGTGCACAAACAATCTTACACCCTTCTCAATTATATATTTCTTATCCTAGCCCAAAGGTATATCTCAAAGTCACTATTGTCTGGTGACTGTTACTCTAAGTTCATTCTGTTTTCAGAAACGGATAAAGCTGTGCTTCTCAAATTTTTATATAAAACATCTGGTGATCTGACTAAATGAGATTCTGATTCAGAGATCTGGGTACAGGCCCAAGAGTCTGCATTTCTAGCAAGCTTCCTGGTAATAAACAGATGCGGCTGGTCCATGGATAACAGTGAACAGCCAGAGGCAGTGAGCACTGCATTGCAGAAAGAAACAGAGGATGCCTCTTTTTTGACAGAACTAGGCAGCTCAAAGAAACATTTTAGGTTTAAGCTTTTTAACAAGTCTGAATAATTCCAAAAGAGACATATAAATATTCTCATGAAAAAACTCCAACAGGCCATTGGACCATTCCTTACAGCTTGAATGCATTACTTACCTATTGTTACCCAGCGTACACAGCTTTGAAAAAGAGGAAGGTAAAAGAAAGGGGAATAAAGGGAGAGAGCAGTATTTGATTGAAGAGAACCAGAGTCAAGTATGATGCAAGGAAATACACAAGGAATTTCACTTGCTGGATGCAGTCTTCACCTGCCTGTACTTTTGATTTCTCCACTCATCGTACCAGAGTTAATCTCTGTTTGACAGGGCATTTCTGTTTAGTGAACACAATTTCATATTCTTTCTTCTCTTGACTATCCTCCACCCTCCAGTAAAAGCAGAAGCACCCCCCTCCCTACAGCCTTACCAAGACCTTTGAGACTTTGTCTCCTTCCATTTCCCCAAGCTGGCACCGGCCACACCAAAACTGCCACTGTCTAACTTAGTCCCAAGCATTTATATAATAAAAAAGGGATACTTTGTGACTCTTACACAGAACACATAAACACAGTCGTGGGGTAGAAAGGTTAGAAAAACCAGAATTTTTAAATGTTTGCCTATAATTTGTAGAAAAGTTTTAATATCCTATGACTAAATCCAAACGTAAGAGGAAAAAATTTCCCCTTTGTCTATTTGTTAACTAAAGTTGATGTGTTTTTCCTCTTGACATACCCAGGATGTGGGCTTTACATTATCAAATAGTAGTGCTAGATACTTCCCCAAATACTGTCAGGACAGTGCCACTCTATTCTATATCCTAAAAATGGCATTGGATTTCTTTTGGTTTTGCTTTTAATTTTTATTAAAAGTAGGGCTTTTATTAAGAGTAGAGCTTCCCAGGTGGCACAGTGGTAAAGAATCTGCCTGCCAATGATGGGTTTGATCCCTGGGTCCAAAAGATCCCCTGGAGTAGGAAATGGCAACCCACTCCAGTTATCTTGCCTGCAAAATTCCATAGACAGGAGCCTGGTGGGCTATGGTCTATGGGGTCACCAAAAGTTGGACACGACTAAGTGCACACACACACACACAGTTGGTTTACAATGTTGTGTTGACAACTGCACTATTTTTGATCAGTTTCAAGATATTTATACTTAACACTATCTCATAAAGGGAAACCTTTAGTTTTATACTGAACAATATAACTAATGCAAATAATATGGATCAACAGCTTGTGCATCTGTAAATACACCATGTGTAAGAGAAACAAAAGCAGATCCAGCTATTCTAAAAGTAGTGTCCATTTTCTTTTCTCATTGCTAGTACTTAGCCAGTGTAGGATTTGGAATCAGAAATCATTACTGCTGACTGAATTTCAAGAACTATTTCATGAGTAGGAAAAGACACTTCCTAATTTAGTCTTGGGCACCTGATCACTTCTTGTCAGAGGCCATGTCAAGTGACAGTTTGTTACAGATATCCAAAGGTACCTCTCTTTCAGGAAATTTCTGTCTTCATTTTAATGTTCTTTGAAGGGTAAACTGTTTCCAGCCACCAACTCTGTGGCTGGCCCTTTACCTTTTTATTGCCACTGCAGCTCTGCTAACTCATTTTTGCTGAGGACGCTGCACTTATTGACATGACTTTTTTCCTCTGGCTTTGTGGCATTTGCTTTGTTGTTTTTTGATACATCCACTTGCACCTTGCATAATGATTAATCTTGGTGGATTATCTCCCCGTTTGGCTTATGTATGTCAAGCTTCCCCTC